TCCTCCCCGTGAGTCCTCGTCCTGGAATCCTACGAGCTCCCTCCACTCCAATCCCCTCGTCTTCCTGCTATCTCCCCCTGCACCTTCCCTAGCCGAGCGGCTGCCCAGCCATAGCAATAGTTTGATTCGCCCTCCCCCCGCACCTCCCCCTCCCCCCCGCGGCCACGTGCCTTAGTTTGTCATGCGTGTCTTTTCGCACCCACCCCATGTCCAAGAGGATGGAGCTGAAAGGGTATCTGAACGGGAGGTGTTCTTCAAAGTATTGGAGGCGGCACACGGGAGATCGCGTGCACACCTCATGCCGACGGTCGAGAGTGCCGACGACCCGCAGCTCACTTCCGCTTTGGCCCTCCACGTCGTGATGGAGACCTGCACCGCGGAGCCGCCGAGTGGAATGATCCCTGGTTCGAAACATGTAGTGGCAGATGACGCCCCCCAATGGATACGGCCATTCTCTATCACTTCTTTTGAAAAGTTCTACAACACGATGCAGCACTGGAGCAAGGCTGAACCCTCGAGCGTGCAGCCAGGCGCATTGGTGTTGTCTGAGCCGCAGGCCGCTCGCCAACCGTACAGCATCTTGGACTCCCGCTGCCCCACCCTTGCAGTGGTGATTCATTTGAAGTCGAAGGGTTGGAAAGCGGTGCAGCGCCAGGTTGACCACGTCAGCACTGCTGTCGGCGACATGGACGGGACCGAGGCCGTGAGGATGAAGCCGTACTTCCAGGCGCTGGCTTCCATCGACAAGTGCATTCCCCTCACCTCGCACATGCCCTCACGCCAGCCCATGAAGTACTATGAATGCCTCTTGCGAGTCGTCCCAGCCGAGCCTGGCCAGTCGAGCATCGAGTACGCGCTGGCGCTCAACAGGGCCAGCGGCAAGAAGGGGCAGCTGGCGCGCCACCTGGCGTTGGAGGATGCGCCAGCCTTGCTGGCGCTTCCGAGCGCTGGCGGAGGCGACGACGGCGTCGGCGGAGCTCTGCCGCCCCAGGATGCCCCTCAGCGGCGGCGCGGGCGCGACTCAGCCCCCGCGCGCAGCGCTGGCAGCCGCTTGGGTGGCCCGCTCGGAGATGAACCCTTGCCTTTTGTTTCGCGGCCAGTCTCTGGCGGCGGCGGCGCGGACGGCGGAGCCGATGGCGTTGGCTTGCGCGAGCAGCTTGGCTCGGAGGGCTCGCCAGCGGCACCAGAGGCTCCACCCGCCGCCGCGCCAGACGGAGACGTGGGCGGTGCCAGCGCCAGCGCTGGCCCGCCACCGCGCGCCGTCGCTGGCGCGCCCCGCAATCCCAACCGACTCCGTTGGGAGTGGATCGATGGCCTTGATGGTTGCAAGATTTCGTATCAAGTGTACATTTCTGGGCAGTATAACACAGTTTACAAGAACTTCAAAATTCAATGCATCAACCCCGCGCACGGCGCTGAGTGCCGAAAGACGCGGGGTGACATCGATTCGGCCAAGAGGAATTTTGGACCTCTGGAGCCGCTCGCTTTTCTTCATTGCTGGTTGAATTTGGACCCCCCCGATGGCACCTCACACGCCACGAGGAATCCGAAGCTTCAGGACGTCAGGTCCTTCTTGGAAGCTCGGAGGGGTGAGCTCGAATCATTGCATCGCCGCCTGCTGTCGACGTAAACAATACGAACGGGGAAACCTGATCATGCATGAATGTGTTCACGAATTCACACATGTTACAACAGCGTTCTGGAAACGGGAGGGGTCAACGCACATAAGACCATATAAACGCACATCCACCCACACGTAACGCTTCTAAAAGAAATACCGTCCGTCAAAATAGCACAAGGGTATGCATCGGCGATGCACGCAATCCTGCGCGCGTGGCATAGCGAGGGTGACCGATGCATCGGCGACGTGCATTCGAAGAGTCACGCATCGGCGATGCTCGAGTAGACAGTGATGCATCGGCTTTGCTCGCGATGAGGAGTGGGTGAGTTTGAGGGGGGTGACGCTGGGGCCGTCGCCATGTTTCTCCAGCGCAGGCAGGGCTGCCATTTCATCGGCATCGGCTTTCCACCGCCAGTCGGGCGCCGATGGCTGCGAAGCGCCCTGCGGCGGCGGAGCCCATCCTTCCAGTGGTCGGCGAGTTTCGCCAACCCGGCCCGCGGGCCCTCGAGAGGACCGTCCTGCGCCAGACCAAGCGCATCCGCTCGCTCAACATCCAGGTTTTCTGGCTGAAGAAGCGCACCAAGGCGCTGAAGACGGCGATGCTTCAGATGAAGAGGGCCGCCGAGAGCGTCACCACCGCAGACGACCAGCGCTGCGCCCAGATGCATATTGAGATCCACAGGGCTGAGGACCGCCACCCGCCTCAGGTGCAGACGGAGGATGAGCCAGAGTGAGGAGCCCGCCGCCCTGTCAAGCCTGTCACCATGGCCGGCCTCGACGAGGCCAGAGCGAGGAGCCCGCCGCCCTGTCGCCAGCTGGCGCGCCATCAGTTGGCATTGGCCAGCTGCGTTGCTTAGCGCACTCGGTATGCAGAGCGCAGTTGGCAGAGAGTGCATCAGATTTCTGTGCGCAATCAGTTCCAGGTGATATGGTATCGGGTTGTCCTAGTCATCTCCAGAACGCTATCGCTTGTTTCCAACATCGCTGCCCGAACTCCCCCACGATTCACCTACCCCCGCCAGCCTATACTAGCACAACACATGTTGCAACGCATGCCGACAGTCATGGCCATCCCCGTCTTCCTCGTCGGCGTCGCTATCCCGATATCTCCCCAAACGGCCTTCTCTTATTCCTCCCCCGCCTCGCCCTCTTTCCACTCGCCCCCCCCGCCTAACCAGAATGCGTCGCAGATAGCAGGTGGGAGGTGAGAGGAAGAGGAGGACGTGCGCGGAAGCCTGATGAGCCACGCCCGAAAACCATGGTAATGGATGGCAGTGAAAAGTTTAAGAATACGGCCTCCTTGGAACCTTCCTGAAGCTCTATTGGGCCGCTCTTGGGACGCTCGCTCTTGCCCCCCTCGCCCCCTCCACCCGCGCAAAAAAAACAAAACAACAAAACAAAAGCAACACCCCGCACCATGCAAACAAAAATGCGAGTACGCGCCAAGCCAGACGAACCACATACAGCACATACAAACACCGTGTACCAAGCCATAGCGCTCCATACCAAATACATGCCACACCATAACGGCTACCGCCAACATGTACAAAGCGCATACCACAACATACCAACACGTACCAACACCATACCATCACATACTGCATGTGCACATCGGACCGCACCAAAACCGTAGTAACCGTATACCATGCCGTACCAAACACATAACGACACGCATCGAACACATACCAAACACATACCAAACACATACCACCACGTACCAACTACATGCCAAACACACACCACAACATACAAAAAACGTACCAAACACATACCAAACACATACCAAACATACGAAAAACAAGCCAAAATCATACCAAACGCGTACCAAACACATACCAAACCATACCAAACGCATACCAAACCATACCAAACCATATCAAATCCATGCAACACACATACCAAACACATACCAAAGCATACCAAACCATACCAAACACATACCAAACCATACGAAACAACATACCAAACCATACCAAAACATACCAAATTCAAACCGAGCACATACCAAACCCATACCAAGCATACAAAAACATACCAAAAACATCCCAAACACATGCCAACACACACACCAAACCATACCAACAACATACCAAACCATACCAAAACATACCAAACACATGCCAAACCATACCGGAAACATACCAAACCATGCCAACACAGTACCGAAAACATACCGAACCTTAGCTAAACATACCAAGCACAGAGCAACCGCATACCAAATCATACCAAATACATTCCAACACATACCAAACACATACCAGATCATACCAACCACATACCAGACACATACCAAAACATACCAAACACATACCATAGCATGCCAAACCATACCAAAAACATACCAAGCATATACCAAACACATACCACCCGCACACCAAGCACGCACCACATCATACCAAAACATACCAAACCATACCAAATGAATGCCACACGCATGCCAAACCATAGCAAATACATACCAACACATACCAGACACACACCAAGCACATGCCAAATCATTCCACAGCCAGCCCGAAACTCAGCAAAATCAGGCAGGGACGCACATGAACCAGCCCGAAACATATTTAAGCCAACCTGAAAAATGAAGAGGGCCCTTGGCAGCATTTCTTCGGGGGAGGAGGGGGGGAGGGGGGCTTCGCCGCGATTTTCCGGTTCCGCCTGGCGAGGCGAAGTGATCCCGTAATTCCACCCCACGACAAAATTCTGTTTCGCTACGACAGGAAAATATGCACCTCCCGCCGGAGCGCTGTGCGTATTTCTCGACGACGACATTTTTTCAGGTCGCCGCGCGGGAAGTCGGCAAGCTCGAAATTGTGCCAGTAGCACGCGCGGGGGCGCATCGCGCCCGAGGCGCTTCGCCAGGCAACGTCCTTGCCGAACGCACCATGCGTTAGGCAAGGACTTTGCCTTGGGCCCCGTAGGGCCCTGGACGGCGCAAGAGACAGATTTCGCATAACTCCCCCCCTCCATTACGGCACACCTTTCAGTTGGATCTTGCCCCGTAGGAGAAATCCACGCACGGCTCCAGAGGGGCGGTTCGCATTGCGCCAACGCGCTGATTTCGATCCCCCTCGCACGGATCGCGCCCCCACGGGGGGGCCCACCGACGTCCCGAGAGGGAGGATTCAGGGCCCGCCCCGCCAACTTCGCAGCGATGCTGCTGCTGCCCCCCAGCCCAGCCAGGGATTTTGAGCTGCGAACGGGTCGCCCGCTCGTGTTCTGAACCGTTTGATCGTCGTCGGGGGGCCCGTTCGCATTTCGATGTCTCCGTGGGGTTGGCGGTGCCCATCGGGCGTCCGCGGCGCCAGGTGCGCCCGCAGCCTTTTTGGCACCGTGCCAGGGGGCCTCGGCGACCCCAGCCTGCCACCGCTCTTGCAGCATGGGCAGGGCGGCCTCCAGCAAGGGCGCTGGCCGCGACGGCAGGGCAGGGAGCTCCCATGGCGGCAGGGGGCGCGGCGGCCGCGGCCGCGCGGCGGCGCCGCCGACCCCGCCGCCGAAGCCGCAGCCCCCCGCCCGCAGGGCCCGCGGGCCGACGCCGTCGGCGCCGCGGCTGACGAAGCAGGCGCTCGCGACGCACGAGGCGGACGGCAGCGGGCAGCAGCAGCGGGAGCGGCGCTCGGGGAGTTGCTACTTGGACAAGGTCGGCCAGGGTACGCAATCCAACGCAGCTGATCTGTTCGCGCTCCCAGGGGTTGCTCGGGTCCATCTTGGGCGCCGCCCTGGGCCCGATCGCGGCCCCGCGAAATCGAGTGGGCCGCAGGGCCCCGCGGGTCGCGGGCGCCCGCGACGGCTCGCGAGGGCTCCTGGCGAGCCCTCGGGGAGGGGTGGGGCCAAGCCAGCTACGCCCATCCAGATCCGTGGTAAGGGGAGCGGGAGCGGGCAACACATTGCCGCCTCCGAAGGTTTGCAAGAAGTCGCACACCTGCCCGTCCTGCACGAAGATGGTCCGCGTCGGGGATCTGCAGTACAGGGAGACGTTGAAGCACAAGGAGTGCGGCAAGAGGGACAGGGCGTTCGCGTGGAACATGGCGCAGAAGAGCGAGGATTGCTGCGCAGGGCTCAAAGAGGGGCCCCAACTAGAACCCCGCTGCTGTCAAGGTGGCTGCCCCCGTCCTCGGCAGCAGGGATGCACTCTCGGGGCCCATCCTGGGGTCCCAAGGCGGCTCCAAGATGCCCCACTGGGAGCTCCAAGAGACCCCACAAGGGCCCCAAGAGGATCCCAAGAGGGCCCGAGACCAAGCGTGTGCAACGCCGAGCTTGCGCACGCTTGGTTTCAGGTCCCCTCGGATTTCTCTCGGTGATCTCCTGGGGCTCCTTGGGCCTTATTTGAAGCCCTTTGCATCAATGTCGGGGCCCTCTCGTGGCCTGAGGGGGGGGGGGGGCGAGATGAGCGCCGAGAAATCCACGCTGCTGTCGAGGTGGCGGCCCTCGCCCTCGACATCGGGGAGGCCCTCTTGGGGCCCACCCTAGGGGTCCAAGACGGCTCCCAGAGGGTCCCAAGGGTGTTCCAAGAGAGCCCCACAAGGGCCCCAAGGGGGCTCCAGGAAGGCCCGACACCAAGCGTGTGCAACGCCCCGCTTGCATACGTTTTGTTTCAGGTCCTTGTGGAGCTCTCTCGGGGCCCTCTTGGGGCTCTCTTGGGGCCATCTTAGAAGCTTCTTCGGGCGATGTCAGGCCCTCTTGGGGCCTGAAGAGCCTCGAGAGGGGCACAAAGAAATCCTCGCTGCTGTCAAGTTGGCGGCCTTCATCCTTGACATCGGGGACGCCCTCCTGGGGCCCTCTCGGGGCCTTCCCTGAGCCCCCATCGGGGCCCTCTTGGAGCCATCTTGGGGCCTTAGGAAGAGCTTCAGATGGCCCCGAGAAGGCAGTCGAGTAGCTTATACAATTGGCTAGCTTGTTGCATAAGCTGGCTGGGCCCTGGGGGGTGGGCGGAAAAAGGGGGCTGCCCCCCTGCTTCAGCCCAGGTGAACGGCCTGTGGGACAACCTCATGCACGAGGATCCAGAGAAGGCCCAGAAGCTCAAGATGGAGTACACCATGACAGGCAACTTCCGTGAGTTCGAGTCGTGCGTCCGCACGCTCGTCAGGGAGATCGAGTACAGCGCGGAGGGCAAGGACCTCGAGCTGAACCACGACTGGTTCATCAGGGCCCTCTGCAGCGCTGGTGTGAGCCGCGACGATGCCGAGGACTGCTGGGAGCACAAGGCTCTGGCGGGCGCGTGGTAATCAGAAACCGATTGGCCCCGAGAGGGTTGCAAGGGGCTCTAGGGTGCTCGAGCGGGGCCGCAAGGGCACCAAGAGGGCCCAATGGGGTCCCCGAGAGGGTTTCAGGATAGCCCCAGACAGGTTCCACATAGGAAGGTGCCCGGAGGGCCCAAATAATGACCAAGGGGGCCCCGATGGGATCTCCAGGAGGGCCCCAAGTCGGCCCCAATAGGCACAGGGCCCATAGGGCCCCCGCGGTCGCATCTCGGGGTCGCCCTGGGTAGGGGTGGGGCTTAGGGGGTCCCTTCCTCCTCCTCCTCCTCCTCCTCCTCCTCCTCCTCCTCCTCCTCCTCCTCCTCCTCTTGCTCTCGCTGCCCGCCCCTTCTCCGTGCCCAGAGTGCGGCATCGCGTCGTCACTTCCGAATCGGCGGTCAATCCGTCCATCCATCCATCCATCCTGGGGCCGCTTTCGACCGCGCGAAGCAGGTTTGGGGCGGCCTCGAGAGGGCCCCCATATAGGAGGGAGGATGGAAGAAACGGAGAGAGGAGGGAGGAGGAAGGAGGAGGAGGAGGAGTGAGAGGAGGAGGAGGAGGAAAAGTATGATGATGATGATGATGAGGAGGAGAAGGAGGAGGAGGAGGAGGAGAGGGAGGGGGGGAGGAGGATGGGGGAGGAGAGGGGGGGGGAGGAGGTGGACCCCCGCCCCCCCCGGCGCGGCAACGGGCAACTGGCAGGGCTCGAAACAAACCTTGGGGCTAGCGCCCCGATTGTCGTCGAGATCGCGGCGCTAGCCCCATGTTATTTTTTCCCGAAGGGAAAGGGGGGGGAGGAGGAGAAGGAGGAGGAGGAGGAGGAGGAGGGAGGAGGGGGTGGGAAGAGGGGGGGATCACCACGCGGCCCCATGAGAGTCCCGCCAGCCCTCTGGGCGCGAGCGGTTAAGACGGCTGCCGTGGCAAAACATGGCCCCTTAGGGGGCCATGTTTTGCCACGGCAGCCGCGTTGCAGTTGACGATGGGACATCTTGGCGATCATCGGTGGAGGAGGAGGGGGAACGAGGAGGATGAGGAGGAGGAGGAGGAGGAGGAGGAGAGGGAGGAGGAGATCACCAGCAATTATGGGAAGGGCCCGACGCAGACCCAAGAAGGCCCCGAGAGAGCCCCAAGATGAGACTGATGGGCCACATGGGGGGAAAGGGTAGCCTGGGGGCGCCTCGCCCTGCCTCGCATTCCCTTCCCCTTCCCCTTCCCTGCAGGTTGATGAGTTCGGCAACAGGCTGAAGGAGGTCGTCTGCCAGGGCGAGAGTTGCCTCGTCCTCAGCGGCATGCGCAGCAAGAAGCACAAGGAGGCGCTGAAGCTGTCCGTGACAGGCTCGGGAAGGGCTCGGCCCGTCGACGCCGCCGAGGCCCAGGCGGTCTTCGCACAGCCGCTCCAGCGCTGCTCGAGGTTCGAGCGGGCTGGCTTGGAGCTGGGCTCGGCCGAGGAGCGCCGCGGCAGGTCGCGCTCGAGGCGCCGCCGTGGCGGCGGGTCGCATCGGCGTCGCAGCAGCGGCCGCGAGCGCGCCTCGCCGCCGCCGCCGTCTCGCGCGGCGTCTCGCCGCTCGGGCCTGGGCCCGTCGGCCCCGCGGCTCGAGGCCCCGACTCCTCCGCGCGCTGGCTGCTCGCAGAACGTGAGCTCGCAGCAGTCGGAGGAGGAGGGAGGAGGAGCAGGAGGGGGACGCGGCTGCTGCGAGCCTCTCGGAGGACGACCGCGTGGCCGACGCCGTCTCGGCCTTCAGCGGCCGCCGCTCGGCTCGCGGCAGCCGCGCGCGGTCGACCCAGTCGCCTGCCCACGCCATGGAGGTCGCCCACGCGGCGAAGATCGAGATCTGGGAGGCGAGGTTCGCCGAGCTGCCGAGCCACTTCGAGGAGACCGTGGACATGTGGAACGCCCAGGACTGGATCGCGGAGTACTTGGAGGAGGTCGTGCTGTCGGAGCAGGCCCCGCCGCCAACCAAATGTGGGGGGGGTGGAATGAAGGGCGATGATAAGGCCGTGTTCCGTTGAAACCGTTCCGAACCCATCCGAGGCTTCAAGAAGCCTCGGATGGGTTCGGGAAGGTTTCAGCGGAACGCAGCCTCGGATGGGTTCGACGGTTTCCAAAAGGCCTCGGATGTGTTCGAGGCGTTCTAAGAGGCATCGAGGCGCAGTGCATCGCGAACGCAGCCTCCTGTGGAGGCTGCGTTCGCGATCACTGCTGCATCGCTGCAGCCTCCGACCCAGCCCGCTGGAAGTTGCCCCAGCGCGACGCGCGCTACTTTTGTTTGCAGCCCCTTCCATCCTCGGCCCCTCCCCTCATGCACCGTTTCCCCGACGCCCCAAACCTTCGCGTCCTCCTCCAACCCCTTCGGCACCCCCGCCCCGCGCCCAGCGTGCCCCCCCCCCCATCGGGCCGCCGGCGGATCGCGCGGCCTCGAACGCGACGGCGAGCCTGAGGAGGAATGAGGCGGATGGCAACGAGGACGAGCAGGGGCAGAGGTGGGGGGAGGGGGCACGGCAGCTGGATTGAGGCAGCGAAGGAGGATGCGGGACGATGAGACAGACCAGGGGGGCGAGGTTTGGCCACGGCGGGGAGGGGGTGACTGCGTGGGCGATGCCCGACCGACGCAGAGAAATGGGAAGGATTGTTGGGCACTGGGGGCGCTCGGTGGCGCGGGCCGCTCGTCGCACCCCCAGGCGGACGGGGTGTGCATCATCGAGTGGCTGGAGACCCAGATCGCGGAGATTGGCAAGGAGGAGCCCTGCGCGGGAGTGTTGGCCAGGCGTAGGATGGTAATGGTTGGAGAGGGGTTGGTGGCTTATGAGGGGGACGTTGGGGGATGTGGCTTTCCTGGGGCCGCCTTGGGCCACTAAGAGGTTCCGAGAGAGCCCCAAACGGGCCTGAAGAGAGCTCCGCGAGGGCCCCGAGAGCCCTATTCGATCCCTCTCGGAAGGCCCGAAGGGGGCCCAAGACCAAGCGTGTGCAACATCCCGCTTGCGCGCGCTTGGTTTCAGGTCCCCTTGGGGCCCTCTTGGGTCTCTTGGGCTCCTCTTGGACCCCCATTGGGCGGGCTCGGTCGACGGCGACGTGCCCCTCCCTCTCCGCCCAGGAGCGCGTCGCTCGTCTGAACTTGCCCGACTGCTCGTCCAGGCTCAAGAAGGCCAAGGAGAATCTGGACAAGCTGCGTGAGCACACGCAGAAGTGGGACGAGGGCCTCGACTTCGGCCAGGAGAGGAGTGCGATCAGTCGGCGCGTGCAGGAGTGGAGGGAGGAGGTGAGGCGCTTCCGCCGCCACGAGACTGGCTTGCAGGCGCGCTCGGAGGGGGCGGAGGGAGGGCGGGGGTCGACAAGGGAGACGGGGGCGGCGGGCAGTGGAGGCGCTCCAAGGGGGGGCGGCGGCGAGGGGCGGCGTGGGAGTCGGCAGTTCCTCGAGGAAGGATGCAGACGAGGGGAGGGGGCAGAGGCGCGGGTGGACCGCGCGGTCATGCCCCCGTCGCCGCCGCCCGCCGCCCCCCCGCAGGGCCCCCCCTGCCTTCGCCCTGCACCGTGTCCCCCCGCCCCAAGTTGTAAACCTGCCCGAGGCTATCGTGGCCAAGAAGCGCCTGGAGAAGAGCGGGCTCTCGCGCGAGTGGAGGTTCGTGAGGGACAAGATCAGGTCGTACCTGATTGGCAAGAGGCTGCCAGACGCCGTGGCGATGATATCGGCGAACACCTTGAACGACTTGGGCATGCCATCGAACGAGTACGGATTGAAGATTGAGTACAATGTGGTTGCAGACCACCCTGCGGACAACATCAGCGTGAACACGTTCCTGGAGCCGTTCATCATCAGGAAGCCGCAGGACGTGGATAAGGCCTCCAGGGACATCTTCCAGCAGACGTTCGCGAACATGTACGAGGAGCAGGACAAGCCCATGGCGGCCAAAATGACAGAGGTGAGAGACTACATGCGGAAGAATGACTTGGGATCGGCTTGGGGGACCCTGGGCTACACGCCGAGTTTCTGCTTCAAGCCCGACGGCGAAGATGGCGATGTTTCGACTGAACCACTGGGCGGGCTCCGCATGGCCGTATATGGGCGCAGCACTGGGGAGTGGAAGACTGAAAAGACCACGCTGCCATGGTCTCAGTGCCCGATCTTCGTCCAGCAGTTCAGTGGTCTCTCGATGGTGGTGGTCGTAGATCCTGGGTGGGTCTCAAAAAATCTGGATTTCAACGGGCTGCTGGAGAACGCCGAGTCTGGGGCGCTCTACAAGCATCGGTCGTGCTTGCTCGAGGCGGGCAGCGCTGTGTACGTGCCGATGGGTTACGTGCCGTTCTTGATCCCCATCGCGGCCAGCATCGACTGGAAGAGCAAGAAGCCCAACCTCAAGGAGTCCAAGCGCGGCGCCGAGGTGAAGCACCTGGCCAGCTACGGCATCAGCTACTTCTTGGAGGACCGCGTCCGCGAGAAGTCGCCTGCGAGCGCTCTCGCAGCCGCGGCCGCCGCGTGGGTCGCGGCCAAGACGACGCAGCTCCCGAAGTCGTTCAAGGCCAACTCCGACATGGACGCCTGGTTCGACGCCTGCGGCCAGGGTGCAGCTCGCGGCGACATGGTCGACTAGGTGTCCCGTTCTCGCAACACGTTCCGTGCTTTTCGTTTGTCGGTCAGCGCGGCCATTCCCGCCAGAGTGGAATGACCGCGCGCTGGCCGACAAACGAAAAGCACGGAACGCCTGTCGAGCACAAGGTTGGCCCCCGCTGAACATGGGGGCGATTCTTTTGCTTGGGATGTGAGTACGTGTACTCGGAGTCCCGTGGGCCGCGCCGCCAGCGCGGCGAGGATTCGCATGGATGTTGGATCATCCAACTCTTGACTGTTGAAAAGGGTGGTCCCTCCCGACCGTGCTCGGGAGCGGGTGTTACCGGTGGGGCCCATCATATCTCCATCTGCCGTGCCGTGGACCGCACATTTTCGTCTTCTGGCCCCCCTCTTCCGCCAAAATCCCCCGCCCGAGGCCGCGCCAATCCCCTTCCCCTGCGGCGGCAAGCAAGGGGCGCGAAGAAACCGCTCGCAACGCACCTGAGTCGCCCAGCCCACCGAGGCTGGACGATTCAGGGCAATCAACTTAAGGTAACTGCTGGTCGTCGTATCCCCACCTCCCCTTTTCCCTCATTGTGCCTGCCCACTCCTCGCTCGCCTCCTCCGTGGATCAGCCCAGCCCTCCCTGTCCCTGCTTGCCCCTCCTTCCCTGCCCCTGCCCACCCTTG